AGAACAAAATATGATCCATACAAAACACGGTATAAGCACAGACATAGGACGTGTATAAACAGAACAAAATATGATCCATACATAACACACTTTAAGCACAGACATACGACGTGCATAAACAGTACAAAATATGATCCATACATAACACGCTTTAAGCACAGACATAGGACGTGTATAAAAAGAACAAAACACCATCCATATATAACACGCTTTAAGCACAGACATAGGACGTGTATACGGCAGACAACGTATCATACAACACACCCATGCTACAGACGCTTCACGCGAATGGCCTGGTAGGAATATGGTCAAGTCCAGGTGAGTCTCTTCGCTTGCGGCAGGGCTATGTGTGGTGTTAGTCTTTTGCTCAGATTGCTCAGAGTCCACTCGCCCAGGTACGAAACACGTCCCAGTCTGAGCCACGCCGAATGGGAGCTTCGGACTGGCAGCTGAGCGAGGGATATGCAATGTGTAAGTAGGATGTATTATACCACCATGTTCAAGTGTGTTTTGGCGTATATATCGTCCATTTATATGTTATCAATGAATCAAGACATTCTTTTCTATCCACAAGACCGGCATTGCAGATATAACCTGGCAAGTGAAGGTACCAAATGGGTATGACCTAAGCATGGGGCAAAGGTAAAGATAACGACGGCATTCCGTAGGGGAACCCTTATTCAGAGCTACACACAAAACCCTTACATAAGTTAGTCTGCGTAACGATACACTGTCTTTTGAACTACGTACAAACAACCAAATCTATCGCAAAGATAGGCATCTAGCAGAGTCAACACGCCCAGACACGCCTAAGCTATGCATGATGGGAATCAACACACCTGATATGATGCTGTGGAAGTTCCCTAGCACTGAGTGGATGGCACTGGGCCTCAGGTGCAGAATAGACAGTTTGTCTTTCAACTGTAGAGATGGATGGCGTATACATGGTGTGAGAAAGCCGAAGCCTGTGACAAGTACAACCGAGGTCACAGAAGCGTGTTGGTGGGAGTTCTGCTCTTAATCTGTATACTTGCACACGTGACAAGTGCATGTAGTACGAATATAATACGACTCTTCTTTAAGATTTAGTTTGGAAAGCATCTGAAGCACCTTTTCCATGTGTTAAACGAGCATGCTACTTAGCTCTCTCACTTGCTTCTGTACAAGAACGGATCATTTTTGACGCCACAATATCGAATATTGTTTACTGTAACAGACTTATACGAAGCAAACCATTGCCCGCAACACGTGCTTTCGTCTCGATTTGATTCGATTCCAGTCAGGAATCCCAATACAGTAATGAAATAATCTATATATAGTAATTAAATAATCTCAATATAGGAATAAAATAATCTAAATATAGTAATGAACTATTCTCAATATAGTAATGAAACAATTCCAATATAGTATTGAAATTGTTGGACATATATATTTGCTTAACCGATCAACGATACTCTTCGTTTACACTCTGATGTACACCCCTTCGTACAGCTAAAGGTTATAACTACAAACACAAGCGCCACCCTACAAACCCCATACCAGCTCACGTAGTTTGTCATCGGGTAGGTCTTTCTTGCTCAATACCGTCTCTATGGCAACATCTGATAAAGTAGTGCAAGAAGGTGAGTGTGTTAACCCTGGTAATGCAGTGCATGGCGGACGAAGAGGACAAAACAGGTCCCCATGTCCGTAAAATAGGACAGGGCAAAGAACATATAATGCCATCGGTGGGACAGACAGATTGAGAGGATTGGGCATAGAGTGATGCTTTTGCCATAGATAATAAAGTTAGGTGGTTGCGTATGTAATTGGTTTATTATTTACATAGGTTTAGTATGTAGTTGTTAGTTTATTCTTTACACAGGTGTATCGGCATGTACGTGAGGCATTTTCTTACTAGATGTGACATGCGCATGTAAGCATCACGAGAAGATGGGCGATTCTCGATACAAACTTACCAGATCCAAGAAGGATGTTACGCCGTAATGACAACCACGACAGTGTGTCTATTGGGGCGTATACTCAGCAAACGCATTAACAACAATGGAAATGTATGCAACGCCTGCCAAGTGTAGATAAAACTGCAGACTCCTTTCAGCAGATATGTTTACCTAAAACCCTAAAACCCCTAAAACATCATTGAACCGTAGATAGGTGCAGCGCACAACTCACATACCCTGCAGATACTTTCATACTCAAAAACCGAATACATGCCCAGCATACGTGTAGAGGAAACCCGTAACACTTGCACACCCTGTGATAGGTAGTTAATAGTATACATCCCATGCACCAGTTGAACCGC